GCACCTGGTGAAGAAGGCTGTGGAGGCCTAAGTAGCTGTCACGAGCTGGCACAGAAAGTCAGCACCTTCAAAAAGCCTTTCTCGCCCTCCTGACTCAAAAGTCTGCATCCAGCCGCTTATGGCAGCTGTTGAAATGAATTCCTGCTTTTTCAGCATACAAGGCAGAAAGATAGGCATATCATACCAGGCTTATCTCAAGATTAATTTTCTATGCACATTATATTTACATAAGAGCAGGTAGTATTTGTAGAATCCCTCTTGTTGGATTTTTGTCATACAAAATAAAAACTAATGAATCACAGAATCACAGAATGGTGTGGCCTGGAAGGGATCTTAAAAGAACATCTAGTTCCAACGTCCCTGCCATGGGCAGGCACATTTCCCACTAAACCAGGCTTCTCAAAAGCTCCAACCTGGCTTTGAACACTGCCAAGGATAGGTATTTTAAAATAAAATAAAAACATCATTTTTTTTTTCTTTAAAGTGTGTCTGTTATGGTGAGAGAAAAAGCTTTATAGATGACAGCTAGGCTGAATAAAAGAGTGTGCTCATTATCACCACACAAAGATAGGGATGGGATTTTTGGGGGCGTGTTTGTCTTTGGAAGTTTGCACATTTTGCATTGTTGTATGTGGATATTTATTGTTTTACGCTCCCCGTCCATCCACTGATACAGGCTTATGTTTTCGTAGTAAATGATGCATTTCCACATTTAGACCAGGAACCATGTTTATCTTTTGCTGAGAGATATTATCAAGGACTCTGAATTTTTAATTTTGTGCCTAATGATTAGATCATCTGTATAGTATCATGCCCTGCAACATAAATAGTTCTAATTTCATTTGTAGTCTACTTATTTAAATAAAAAATAAGAAAAATAATAGAATTTAAAGAAAATTATAAAATACTTGTTTGCAATATACACATTATAATAGATAATAGATAATAGATAATAGATAATAGATAATACATTTATTTGCAATATGCTATACAAAAAGGAGATATTCCTCTCTTTTAGTTTTTTTTTTTTATTTTCTAGGTTGATTTAGAAACCCCAACAAAATACCATAGCAAACCAAACAACCCCCTCAGCAAAAAAAAACAAACAAAAAAATTCACGTAATCTTCCTTTGTTTTTGTCAACAAAGAGTTTTCCATTCCTTCAATTTTCGTTAAAGATGAAAGGAAAAAAAATGTGCCAAGTTTACCGAACAAGTAAAGAGAAGTCCCATCTACCCTTCATGTCAGGCTTTGGTATGATTTCAAGTGTCACTATTTATCAACACACGATGGCAGTAGCGGTCCATGAAATGATTAGCTGACACTGTACATTATTGAAACACTTATCTGCCGAAGGCCTTTTTTTCGAGAGTCTTTGCTTATGAATATTGACAGTTCTGAGCCCAGCTTCACAGAGAAATTAGGCCAAAAAAAAAAAAAAAAAAAAAAAAAAGAAAGATTAAAGAATCATTTTCTTGCTTCCTCATTCACCTGACCAGAAAAGCCAGACTACACTCCCCATCATTATGTCATTTAAATAAAAAAAAAAAAAAAAAAAAAAAAAAAAAAAAAAAAAAAAAGGAAGGCTCACAGTCCTAGGTAGTGTTTGTGATCCCAACCTCCATGTAAAAAGTGGCACATCCGTGCTTTCATTAACCACAACGACTTTTTGGAAAGATTTCTGGCTTATAATGTTAACTGTAGCAGGTTCTGTAGTTACTCTTTATTTCCTGGTCAGACTGTAGCATTTTGGGGGTTCTTCTCAAATCATAGATTTCTCTAGCAGCCTGTTTAGCTAATAACGCTCCCTTATCTGTGATCGGTTTTGAGTGAAGTATCAAAGGTGCTTTCTGGAGAGCCATATTGTCTAAGCAAATACCACTTCTTTCAAATACACTTCATTTCCATTTCATCAAGGAAAAGTCTTTTAGACATGTAGCTTAACCCTCACAATTATGAGTTTAATTTAATGTCATTACTTGTCTCCTTGTTGAACCCTGAGAGCTTCAGCCTTTCTGCAGAACATGTCTCATGGATTTACTTTCAGGTGAGATCTTTAATAGAAACTAGACATTTAACATCAACTCCTTGTAACTTCAAATAATTACATGGTTGAGGTTCTTGTGGGTCTCCCAGGTCGAGTCTGTGACTGAAGGAATATTTGTACTGGTCAATGGACTATTCTGCTGAGGTAACCCTGTACACTTTCAAGCTCCAGAACCCAGCAGCAGAAATAGCTGTATCACTCCAAAAAGCCCAAGTTAACAGAATTTACCAAGAAGATCTCAAGGGTAAGACAGCTCCATTGTTTCAGACACCTTATGTTCTCCCAGTACTGTTCAGTTCCCCAGGCCAAGAAATTATTCACAAATTCTTAATTTCTCCTGTGAAAGTCCTTGCAGACATTCTTAAAAGATAGCAAGCACACAACTGTTGCACTGAGGATAAAATATATGAAATGTTATACCAATATTTTCTTTTAAAATCAGCACTGGTTTTACTTTTGTGATTCACCAACAGGAGCTTTTCTAAGAACATTGTCTTTCCAGCAGAGGCCAAGTGACAGAAATTATTCCTGAAGAGAGAGGACTCTGTTCACTTCCATGACTTTGGTATGTGTCTGGACAGGAATGGTAGAAAGCTGTAGCAGATTGACCCATACATGATTCAAACGTAAGCTTGGCATTGCTGCTGCTACTAACCTCTGAACTGTTATCTGAAGTGGGAAGAGCAGCAACTGTATTACCTCTGATAACACTAATGTGGTAAGGGAAAGCACATGCACAAACAAACAGAAAGGAAAATGTACTTCTCTCTATACAAGAGCTCTGATTCAGAAAACCTGTGAATTCCCTGGCTAGATTTTCACAACTTGCATTAGATGAGTACAGTTGACCACTACACAAGAGAGGGAGCTCTGATCTGTGATTTTGGAGGTTTCTTCCATGTCAAAGTTTAGAGAGATTATATTCAATTTAGTATTTCTTGACTTCTGGAGCACAATAGTTATTTTTTATTTATAGTACATCCTTTTCTTGCTGTCCTTGATCTGAGAGCATTATGCAAAACAGTCTTGACATTTCAGGTTTGCACCATAGAATATGCTTGGGGACCAGACATTTGAGCATCCATATTCCTTTGTATAATTGAGGTGCACCATACTCTTCATGATTAGCAAAGTTTGCCCTTTCCAACAGAAATGCATCTTCCCTGAAACAAATGTGCTGTGGGCAGCAAATCCGTCACCATGGAATGGCGCTTGACCGCTGTACAAGAGCTCAGGGGCTGATTCAACCTACTGCAGCAGCTGTGGAAGGGGCTTTAGTGCTCTCCCTCATCTCCCCCTCAACCTTTGAATTTTTCTCTTTCCCTGAGCACACGTGTTCTGTTGGGAATATGAAGAGCTGATGATGGCATGAGAGGTGGCATGTGGATGGAAAGGAAAGACTAGAATTTCTTGAAATAAAACTAAATGCAGCTAGGGTCTAAGACTTTTGGAATTTTGCTGCTCTCCCCTCTGCCTTTCACTAAGACAGGAGAGAACAAGAATGATCTGTCTCTGCTCTCAACACTCTCTTGCTTCATCATATCACTCCATATCCTATCCTTATCTCACCTCACCTCCTTCTTCCCAGTTCAAACCATGCCAACTTTAGTCTGTTCGATGTTCTGTGTGTGTTCACTTCCAGAAAGTGGCAGTGAGGGTGAAGAGTGAGGTCTCTGTGAACAGTTTCCATTGTCTTTCCCAACAGAAATTTATAATTTATATTTTAAATGGGCATATATGTTCAGCTAGATGAAAGGGAACTTAGATAATGAACAAACACCAGATTGTCTAGGCTGATTTGTTATGGGGTTTTTTGCCAAAGTCTTTCATCAAACCTTTATCACTGAAGATGTGCAGATGTTATTTGCTGCTTGTCACCATAGAACAGAATGAGCAGGTACGTGTGTTGTATCTAGTGGATCTTTCCTGGGGCCTTTCTCTCTAGAAAAATGTATTAAATCTCCTGCACTAAAGGAGAGGAGTTACTCCCTCCCAAGAGGGAAATTTTCTAATCTTTACCTGGAAAACCTGTTAAACAGTAAAGCGGAGATTTTTTTTATGAATCAAGTAATTGGAAATTGAGCTCCACAAGGTGATTTGTGACTTCAGTCTCTGAATCCTGGTCGTTACTGTATTGAACTGCAAAATTTTCTCTATGTAAATATGACAAAGGAAGGTTTGTTTTGGGTTTTTTTTTTTTCATTCTCTATGCAGAATAAGATCTAGTATTTCTCAAATAGGAGATATTACGTGAGATTTTTATTACCACCTAATCTGTCAGGCAAGTTTATCAAAGATACAGAAAACAGCTTTGGGTCTCATCAGCATTACACATATAAATTATTGCTGCAAAAATAAAGATAGATTATGGGAGGGTAATCTGATACTTGAGATTTCAGCTCTATATTTCATTATTGATTCAAGGAAAGATTCTGTTTTCTGAAGAAAACATGGGTTTTTTTTAAATATTGTTAGTACTTTTCCAAAATGGAAGGACTTTTAAGGAAAAAAAAATTAAAAAATAGGTGTATATCTGAGAGAATAATATTTAAATAAAATAAGCCCCAATAAATAATCAATTATGTACACATATTTTATTTTTATTTCTTTATTTACCATGTAATAGCTGGACTTTAATATGTAAAATTATTTAATTTTAGAATTCATATGCTAGATCTGAAAAATTCAGCAAAAAATTTGGTTTTTCCATTGTTTTTGTAGTAAAGTATTTTTCTTGATATTGGTAAATAACTTGCAGCTGGGTAGATAATAGATTTGTCTTTTAACATTTCATAATCTTCTCAGTATCTCATTAATAAATTCCAATATTAACAGAAATATTTCCCAAATCAATGATATTTATTTGAATTCATCTAGGTTAATGTAGCAGTGAGTTAATGATTTGTCTTTAGAGATTCTTACAGCATATGACAGTCTTGGCTGCTGTCAAAGCTTAGATGAGGTTACCAACTGGCAAACGGGGTAGACACATGTATGCATAAGGTGTTTTGCTCAGGTTGATGGGATTTCCATCCAGTCTGATGTCTTCAAGAGCCCTACGCACATAAGTAAAATCCCTCATTTTGCAGAAAGTATCTTCATGCATCTCTTGAATGTTGTTGTTCTAAAAGAAAACAAGCAAACAAAAAAGAAGCTATCAGAATAGTTACCTGAAAGTAATTTTTTACACCATTTATGGATGTATTTTCAGTGTCTAGAGAGATATTTGCTTGAACTCAAGGGCCCAGATTTTGGCGGCAAATCATCAACAGAGAAATCTTCCAAGCAGGGGAAAATTTCTTGGCCAGTGCAAAGTTTCAAAACTAAGTAGCTCAAACCATGTAGCAGAGGCAGGCTTTAAAGGAGGAGCCTGGTAGAAGTATATAGCATTTTCATTTCCAGATTATAGTGAAGAGCCTCATTAAGGCAAATTTGATCCTCAATAGGCCAGTACAAATATCATAAAAACATAATTATCATCCTGACATCTTAATATGCCTCAACCTGCAAAGGTACAACTCTAATTTGATCTGTGACAATTTCTTTCCCCCAGGCCCTCTCACATTAGTTTAACTCACATCCGTATCTATACTGGGAAAATAGAATGCTTTTGGTTTTATTCCTTTGACTTAAATTGCTCTTACATGCCTTATATTCACTGAGCTTCCGTTCTTGAAGTGAACCATTCTCAACAAAGAATTGCTGAAATACAGCATTGTCAGGAAACTGGGACTAAAAAGTTCATAATTTAAAATGAGGGCTGTCTGAAAATTCTTCTCTTCCATTCCTTTGCTAGTCAGAAATTGGTGTAGAAAAAGTCCAGCACTGAATATTTAATTTACAGTCACAAATAGGTGAGAAAAAGTCAGCTAGCAAGCAGAGATTTTTAATAAATTTACTTACTGAAAGATAGAGGTTAAATGATGTGAGGTACATTACATTGCTTACTGAAAATTTTTTTATGTATGATGTAATAAGTAAAAATATCCAATAAACAAAACTGTAAATTGGTACCAGAGGAGATAAAGGGAAAGAAGCAGATCTGAAAAAGGTTGAAAGGAAGAATTCACAGAGAAACTATTAGATAATAGTAAGTCTAGTATTTGATTTTTGAAAAATATTGTATTACAAATTTTGAAAATTAATGCTTAGCTGAGCTAAATTTTACTTCTTTGAAAGACTGCAATCACTAGTTAATTTTATGTTTCCCATAGCTTGTTTAGTCAAGTAAGAACACCTTTTGGATAAACAGAAGAAGCATTACAAGACAAATGTTTGCCCTTCCCAGTTGTGCATCCTATTTGAGCATGATATAAGGAGCCATTTCTTTTGTAGCCTACCTGAAGATGAAGAGCTTGGAGGCTTTCAGGGAGTGACAATGGAATGTGGTCCAAGTTATTGTCAGTGATATAAAGATGCTGCAGTTCATCCAGATTCTAGAGGAGGATGGAAATAAACCATTAAGACCAATAAGACATATTTGAAAATCTCTATCAGGTAAGTTTGAAATCTATCACTGCAATGAGCACCACAAAACATTTTGTTTCAACATGATATGGTGAAAAGACAGAAATTCAAAGACAGTAATGAACTCTGATTTGCATAGGCTGAGAATGTTACTGATAAAGGTTGGGTGTTCAGATTAAAATGAAGGGGAAAATACCTACAGAATTATTAAAGATGTAATTTTAATGATGATGTTCCTTTCTTTTGTGGCAAGACTACTTAATTTTGTGGAAGTGTAATGTGTTGAAGCAAATAATAACTGTATAAGAAATGCCTGAGATAAAAATACATTTCTCATTCCATTTCAGAAGGTAAATATTTTTTTCCCTTGACTTGTTGAAGGAATGAGTGCTGAGAGATCTGACAGACACCATAGCTAGGCTGCTTACAGTGGTCTTTGAAAGGCCACAGGGATCAGGAGAAGTGCCTGAGGACTGGAGGTAAGCTAGTGTTACCCCTATCTACAAAAAGGGCAAGGAGGATCTAGGGAACTACCATCCAGTCAGCTTCACCTCAATCCCTGGAAAGGTGATGGAGCACCTCATTCCAGAAGCCATCTCAATCCCCAGGGATGACAATAGGGTGATCAGGAGTAGCCAGCCTGGATTTGCTAAAGGTAAATCCTGCTTGACTAACCTGATTGCCTTCTAAAATGAAACAACTACCAGAATGGATGAGGGGAGAACACTGAGTATTTTCTACCCTGACTTCAGCAAGGCTTTTGATACTTTCTCTCACAGTATACCCTTAGCAAACTCAGGAAGTGTGGTCTGGAAGAGTGGAGAGTGAGGTGGATTGAGAACTGACTGAATGGCAGATCCCAGAAGGACATAATCATTGGCACAGTCTAGGGAGGTCTGCCACTAACACTGTCCCTCAAGGTTCAGTGCTGGGCCCAGTATTGTTTAACAAGTTCATCAATGACTTGGGTGGAGGGACAGATGCCTCCTCAGCAAGCTCACTGATTACACAAATCTGAGAGGAGTGGCCAATACCCCAGAGGGGTGCCCAACCCTCCAGAAGGACCCCAACAAGCTGGAGAGGTGGGCTGAGAAAAACCATCTGAAATTCAACAAAAGCAAATGCGGAGTCCTGCACCTGGTGAATAATAACCTCACACAGCAGTATGGGCTAGGAGCCAATCTGCTGGGCAGCATCCCTGCAGAGAAGATCCTGGGGGTCCTGGTGGACCTGTCCATGAGCCACCAGTGCCCTTCTCCCAAGGGCCTGGGGCACATTAGGGAGAGCATTGCCAGCAGGTCAAGGGAGGTGATCCTGCCCCTCTACTTAGCCCTGGTCAAGCCCAGAACAAGAAGGAGACATGGAGCTCCTTGAGCAGGTCCATCTGAGGGCTACAAAGACGATTAGGGGACTGGAGCATCACTCTTATGAGAATGAACTGCGCTTCTAACCACATCCTCTGGAGAGGAAGAAAATATTTTCCCATCACACCCAAACTTACTTTAAATGCCTCATTTGGTATCCCTCTGCGACCAAGCCTGTTCTTACTAACATCAATGAATGTTAAGGTAGATGGTAGCTCAGGGAGTTGCCTTATCCTATTGTCACGGAGCACCAGCTCCTGAAGTTGGGGCAATCTTCGGAAGGCATCCTTGTGGATATCTGATATGAAGTTTGCAGTCAAATCAATCCTCTTTAAATGGTCTGGCAGAGAAATAAGATATAACAGACTTATAAGAATGTATTTCCTGAAATTTAAAAAACCCTGCCTGTGTCATTCTTTATACATCTTTCAGTAAAATATTTCAAAGTTGAGTTTTAAGATTTCTGTGTGTTTTGGGAATCTTATAAATTATTGTTTGGAAAAATGACACTTGAAGGGAAGTAAACATATTTTCTACTACCTTGTCCCACATTTCTTTATGCAATATATAAGAAATTTTATATATTGACTTCTTTATAAAATACACTCAAGCACTTTTTCAAATTAAAAAAAAATAAATTGAATATTTGGGAGGTTTTATTACTTTTCTAAAGATGATTGCAAGTAACAGCAAAAAGATCAATGATCACTGTTATTTATAATAAATCAAAAGTTTGACAGAAAATTTGCATGTAATGTACGGACTTTTATGCTCCAAAGTAGCAAAATGCGTGTGCATTTATGTGTAAAATTTACCATAATCAATTATATAAAACATATATTGCTATATGTTTTGTTGATATGAGCCAGAAATAATCAAAATTAAAGGTGATTTCAATAATACTGCTATCCATACTTAAGTTAGCAAAGTCATTTCTGCCGATCTTCTTGATTCTGTTATAACGTGAATAGAAATATGTGGTTTCCTTAGGCAATGGTGGAACAGCATCAAGCTCACGATCATCACAGTAGACTGTTGTCCCTAGGCATGTACATAAAAGGCAAGTGGGAAGACCTATCAAGGAATTTAAAAGAAAACAATTTGTTAGAAAAGAAATTTATAAAAATCATACAAAAATTGCTACAGTGAAATGCTCACACAAGAACCTAACGATCACACTTTGTCTATGGTAAAGTTCACTTCCCATTCTGCTTTGATCACCAAATCATATAATTGCAACAGTAAAGTGATTAAATTATTTTTTGAATGAATTTATTTTTCTCCCTGCGCCTAGAAAAACAATTAACTTGTTCTAATAAATTGTTTCTCAGACTATAAGAGAATATTTGGTGACAGCAACCAGCCAGAAGTTGATTTCCCCTTAAGCTAGCAGGTGTATACTTCCATCTAGATGGAGGAATAATGGCTGATGAACAATATTTTCTACTTCATCTGTCTCTCTGTCACTCTCATTTTTCCCTTCCCTATTTATATTTCTTTCTACCTCTGTCTCTTTCCCTCTCATTTACTATTAAATAAAATCTATCCTGTTGACCTTGGCATATGGTCTCATTTGCATCTTTATTCAGGCAGAGGCATACCTCTAACAATTTTAATAACCAGGCTGTAACACTTCTGACACTGACTTTTTGATACATCTTTTCATTGATTATGAATATAAATCAGCATCTGTTTATCATCTTTTAATCCCATAGAAATACTTTCCTGATTAATGTTTTCCTCCTCCTTGTAGTAGGTGGGGTTTTTTGCTCTTACAGAATAGTAGGATAATTCAGGAATATGAAAATGCTTTTCTTACAGATTAGTTTTTCCTCTAGATCACATGTGGCTAGATGAGAGATGTGCCTTCTTAATCTGCCCTAATTACCTGTAAATTATTGAGGTGCCTTTTGAGGCAAGATTAAAGAATTGCTAACCGGAGTACTCTTTTATTTTTATGTGATAATTTCTACTTGGACATCCAGGAATTCAATTTCTAGAGAGATAAGGATATTTTCATGCTTTCCCGAACTTTCTCCTCAGGGTAAATTAAATTGGCTGCAGAAAGGAGGGCTGACACAGCAAATTTAGGCCTAAATGAATACAGAGTTAAGGATGGCTGATATTTTTTCATAATATTGCAATATAGCACCATAGTATGGGAAAAGGTTTTCACCCTGTCCTATTTTTGATGTTGGAGGAGTGGTATTTTTCACCTATGTCAGACATAGACATAGGAAACTGAAAAAAAAACAGAGGTAGGGGAAGGATTCAAAAAGCTATCAACAAGAAAAATGGGCTTGGCTTAATGTTACTGAGCCTTGTAATCTCACCTATAGCATGTACCAAAATAAGACTATAAGACTTAATTTAATAAGACTTATTAAATTCAGTGAATACACAATTTTGGAAGTAAGAACACTCCGGTTTATATTTGGGTTTGGGTTTTTTGTTTTTTTTTTTTTTCATTTCATTTTTCTTCTATGGCACTCAGGTGTAGTGTTAGGCATAGTAAAAAGTAAGATTTTCCTATCACTGTACGTTGACCACCATACAACACAAAGATCCCTCACAGCAATGGAAAACTCTAGTAAACTTTACCTACTATAATTTAGAGGGGTTTCTGACAAATGCCTAAAATTCGCACTGCAAAATTTGTATGGGAGAGGGACAGATAATGTTTTGGAGTTTTAATTCCCCTGCAAGATTTATAAAGTTCTTATTTCGCTATTGATGGTCAGAAGAACTGAAAATCATATTCACTAAAAAGTTCTAAGTAGTTCCCTTTCCTTAAGTTTTTCAGTTTATAGTTTTCATGGTCAAAAATTCTTCAACATTTCAGTTCTACTTTGTATGAGTACATCTATAAAAAACGTAGCAAATCATTATAAGTAAAGACAGTTGATAATGGTATTGAAATCTACGACAGAAAAACAAGTACTGGTAGCATTGCCAGCCACAAGCAAATTTTCAAGTTGTAAATCTTCACTGGTACAGTTGTTTTCATAGTGAAATAGTATGGAAACCTTTTGACTAAGCACCTATCTGACTTTGGTGAATTCAAGATCAGCATGTTGTATCTTCAGCAAGGGACAAACAGAAATTATGTACTTCATTTTCAGTAAAAAAGAAAATAAAATTGGCTTTCTCAAAATCAAAGCTACACACACAAAAAAATTCTCTTTCCTACTAACCATCTTTGGTCTGGGGTCCAAGAACCCCTGACCCTTGTGCTGAAGACCCATCAATTAATTTTGGTGTTGAAACTTCATCCTCAGTTTCTTCTGTCAATGATGCAGAAGAAAAACTCTCTTGAATTACAGAAGGTAGTTCCATCCCAACATCTGTCTAGGGAAAATTAAAAGGAAATGTTACTGTTTACTTCCCTTGGAAGCTGTTTCTCTTCAGTTATTCATGTTCTCCCACTAGAGGTCACATATTTTCTGAGATTTAGTGCTTGAGCTGCAGTTTATCCAGGAGCTATAATGAATTCTGATATATAAAAAATTAATGAAAATCCAACATACTTATTCACTTTTTATCTCTGTATTTTGATTATTTTTAATGTATACACACATGCATGTACTTCATTACTGAGAATATATAGTAGCAAAATTATTTTTCCATATTTATTTAAAAGTAAATTCGATTTGTGATAAAAATTGATAAACTGTGTGTGAAAAATGAAAATTTGCTATGAAATATCAAAAAGGTGCAAGTCATTTACCACAAAATGGTGAATTGTACCATCACAAATCCAAATCCATTATAGCTGTGCAGTCTCTGCTTAGAACAATAACATGATGCAAAAATACTACTAAATAATTCTGAACTCCGATACAACTTTCAAATATGTTAAAGACTCTGATTTACTTCATTCATTAGAAGCTGTATTATGTAGTATGAAAAAAATGATATAGATAAAAATATTGGATAAAACCTTGGTTTTAAAACACTTATAGAATTTGGAAAATCCTTACATGGAACTAGGAAATTTATTTTTTAGTCCTTCACTCAACATAATTAGTCAAAGCAGTAAATTTTGTCAGGTTAACTTTCATTCTAAAAATGCATTCTGCTGATTTTCCTATATGACAATGCTGGATAAAAAATAAGATGTAGCAATTTTCTTGTATCACGTCACTGCTCATAAAAAGAGTATTGCAGACTTGCCAGGCTTGTTGCAGAGGGGTCTGTGTTAACAAAGAGGCCGGGTTGTTTTCTGTTATCACCCAGACATAGTTGTGTGATCTTTGCAAGTTACTTTCCCACTATATCTTCACTTCCCCGTGTGTAATAATATTGTTCAACTGAGACAGAGCCCTTTCTGGAAGTGCGCTCTTTATTCTTTAAATCCAAAACAATGAATTAGGGGTTTGCACATCTGAGGTATTGTTTAAAATGTAGGTAATGCATTTAATTCTGTGAGTGCTGCACTCCTGTGCTGCAGTTAGCACTCCTTATCTTTTTCAAAGGCACAGCCAAATATAGGAATTTTGTCACAGTATCATTATTCCAAGTGCAAGGGCACCAAAGCCCAAAATTCTGCTTCAGTTTTCGTCCACTGCAGTTTTCTAGCACATACCACTGCAAAACTATTGAATCCCTAGTCTTTCACCTGAACAAGCACCTTCTTGCTTGAGACCATCCCACAGCTACTGCTTTCTTTGCTATCTCCATGAAGAACCAGTTGTTGAAATCAATTGCAATAGTGTTCATAAATTCTAATTATAAAGTACAGGTAAAAAGTAATTGCACCCAGACTGGCCAAATAGAATTTTTAAGATTTGATTTTGTATGTGGACTATAGAAGTTAAAGTAACTGAAAACACCTGACATCTGGATTCCAAGCGTGGAATCCCCTATTTGCATCTCTTTGTATGTGTACATATATTTCATATGTAAGCAGCAGCTCAAGGGATGTGATTCTGCCCTTCTACTCTGTTCTTGTGAGACCCCATCTGCAGTACTGCATCCAGCTCTGGAGTCTCCAGCACAAGAAGGACATGGGCCTGTAGGAGCAAGTCCAGAGGAGGGCCAAGAAGATGAAGACAGGCTGAGAAAGTTGGGATTGTTCAGCCCAGAGAAAAGAAGGCTCTGGGAAGACCTTATAGCAACTTTTCAGTACCTAAAGGGGACCTACACGAAAGCTGGAGAGAGACTTTATGAAAAGACATGTAGTAATAGGACAAGGGGGGATGGCTTGAAGCTGAAATTTTTATATATTATTAAATTCTTTACTATGAGGATGCTGAGGCATTGGAAATGGTTGCCCAGAGAAGTTATGGATTCCCTTGCTCAAGGCAAGGTTGCATGGGGCTTTGAGGAACCTGGGCTCCTTGAAAGTGTCCCTGCCCATGGCGGGGGCTGGAAGTAGATCTTGGTCCCTTACAACACAAACAATTCTATGATTCTATGAACTGTGAAAATTTTGAAAAAAAAACACTTTGCATCTCATAACAGACTATCTTGCAGCATAGCTATATATCATTACAAGCAGTATTAAGCATTATGATCCTGGATTGCCTTAGAACATCTAAATAACTGCCTAAAATCTAAATTTTTTTGCACATAAATTAATTGGTTTAGGTTATATAATGGCAATAGGTTCAAATATTTTATATCAATTAGTTTCACTGAAGACAGAGAACATGAAAGCAATAAAAAACCAGAAAGCACTCTGAACTGCACAGGCTCAGATTTTGACTAAGAACATTTTGGGTTTTCTGTATATGCTTTAGTTGTATTCTACTAAGCCACAGATACTACTATTAATTTGAGTTTATGGATAAAAATGCCTCAATACCATTTCCAAGGTCATCTCACAAAACGCAAGGTAATCAAACGAGTAAAATGACCTTCAGCTGAACTGAGTAATGTGAGTTGATGTAAATAAGAGTAAGGATGCACCTTGTCATTTTGTACAGACAAATACACAATGTTACCATCTGCAGCACTGACAGTAGACAGCTTAACCAGGAATGGACTTGGGGACAAATCAAAAGAAGGCTTTGGGAACAAAGGAAATGGGACAGCTGTTCTCCGAATGGAGGAAGCCTAGAGGGAGAGACACATTCCAGACTTTTATTGACCCAGGTTAGTACTGCACTAAAGTTCTTGCACATGCTGTCAACTTCTTCACCACATTTGTGGAAATCAGATAAGAATCCCTCTTCTGAACTTTAGAATTAAATCTGGAGATTTTAAGATCTGTTAATGTCTTTATATCCAACTTTTGTTCTACTGAAAGTAATATTCTGGAGAAAAGTATATGCAAGATAGACTTTGTAAATAGGCATCAGACCAAAGATAATTTTCCTTCCACTTGTTATGGGATTTGGGACATCTGCACTGATTGCCACCTCTCTGCATATTTGGAGCATACTTCTGGAACTTACTATCTTGGGATTTGTGATTTACTTTATGCTTCCTGAAGGTTTCTTAGTTGATGAATCACTGTAGCTGTTGGGTAGCAAAGCGGAGGTGTTAACCTCTAGTACTTCAATTCCTACACTGTTATCTCTTTCTTACTGTTGGATGCTACCTAGATTTGTAGATGCTCAGTTGAAAGTCTCCATTTGAAAGTTTCCCTGTATATGCACAAAGTCTGGGATTTAGGGAAACTGTTCCAAGTAGTTAGATTATTTATTCTGTCTCCTGCACTTTCTTATTTTCATGAGGAAATAAAAATTATTGGCGTTAACTTAATGTAGTTGCAATTTTTATACTCTTTACAGAGTAGGAGTTCACTGATATATGTGTTTTACATACCAGACCCAGAGCAAGAGCAGTATTTTCTTGCTGTATATAACTTGGACTTGAACCAGTGACCTAAAGGTAAAAGTCTGTTTCTCATTATTGGTCATCTGATCCATGCAGCTATCTTTTACAAGTTTGATAAATGATGCAAGACTGTAACAAGACAAAGATGTTTCTTGGACTATATACTGTACAGAATAATTCCTCATCTTCCAGATGTTTGTTTATCTTTGACAACTGGACTTTACTAAAAAAACCATAAAAATTGAAACATAAATGATTGCATATCACTTAATGGCATTATTTTCCATAGGGTTTTTTGGAAGGAGGAGGGAGCCTGGAATTAGGCAGGGAGTGGACTTGTATTTCATTTGCTACTTAAAAAAAAATATACTTTGCGAAAAATCACAAACCAGGGAGAGCATTGTAGAGAAATACAATAAAGTATGTTTCTCTTTTCCAATAACTACAAGTCTTCAACTAATAATCTCCCTTCCAAGACAGTTTTAATGCATGACAAAAAAAAAGAAGAAACTGAAGGGGTATCACATCACCTATCTTTAGACATCTATACGGTTAATAGTTACCCTACTCTGTCTTTGGAATCAATCAAGAGGTTTGGAGAATACCAGTGCAGATTAGTCCCAGAGCATGCAAAAGGACAGTGATATCTTTCCTAAGATTGCATGAAGTACCTGCATTTTTCCCCATCCTATTATTTATCCAATGTGGCTCCATTCTCTAATGAAAGTTCTTAGTGTGGCTGCCAATTCAGAGTCCCTTTCATATCAGGAAGTTACAAAAGTCAAGAATGCAGAAATCAGAACACATCAGTAAGTGATAAAATGCAATTGGTAAAATCCAGCTTACAAATTGCCATCCATTGGCTGGGCATTTAGTTTATATTAGCATCACTTCACAGTCAGTACAGAATGAGACAAAACTTCTGAAAAGCAGCTCCAGACACTGGCTACAGAATTCCTTTTAGGTTGTGCTCTTTAGGTATCTATATCTCACCATTGACAGGAAAGGAGGCGAGACAAACAAAGGACTAGGAGAGGCTCAGGAGTTTATTTTATGTGTCTTTTTTATGTGTCTATTTTATGTCCACATCTTTTAGGATTAAAGCTGATGTATTACATGTGATAAGTTTAAATCCACAGAAGAATCTAAAGTGTGTTCTGTTTCAGTGTTTCTTTTACTGAAAAAAAAATTAATACACAAATAAAAAAATAAAAATTTAAAAAGAGTCATTTTAATCTTGAAGGGACAGTTGCTCCACACACTGACCCATCAAAAGGAACTGGTTTCTCCCATAGCTGTTCTGAAATTACCAAAGGCTTACAAGAAAATATCTAATTATGGTAGAAGTTATTCAGAGAATCACAGAATGGTTTGGCTTGGATGAGACCATAAAAAATAATCTATTTCCAACTCCCTTGCCATGGGCAGGGAGGTTTGTTTTCCTTTCCAAAAGTGGCCTATACTTGTTCTTGAATTTTGCATTTAAAGGCTTATTTTCTCCTATTGTTTTATCTTAAAAAGAAATAGAATTGTTAGTCTCTGCAGACAAGTGAATAACAAGAGCTGTAGTCAAAATCTTTCTGGAAAACTAGAAAAATTCCTATTCGAGGATAAAGCTTCAAATTCTATGTTTGATTCTCTTATCAACTATGTGGCTATCTGATTTGGACATTACTTGCACCAATTAATAGGGTTTTTTGAAAATGTGTATGTTCTGAAAAGTCATTGCATATTCACTTTGAAGTCTCTTATTTAATCAGATACCTACAACAAAGATAGGAACAGCATTGTAAGACTCTCTCAACTCTGCAGAATTGCAAGAGTGAGTTCTTGTTCAAGTATGGCTATTCTTCATTTGTGTTATGCCAGCAGGAGAGATGGTTTGTGTGTATGCACACAGACATGAGTAAATATGTGGAACTCAAATTCTGAGCTTTGTGCACGCACCAAAATGACCTATTATTAGTTTGATACAAATTCAACAAGCTACCAACTAATGCTAAGCGAAATGCATAAAATATTAGACTTTCACTGTGTTTTTTTCTGAATATTTTGTGAATTATACTTTACAACTCACCTCTTTTGTGTAAACCTAACATAACCTGTATGTAGCTCCCTTACTTTTCTTCTTATTCAATGCTAGGCAAACCATTCTTAATTGAGTGCTCCTTTGCTTTTCAGCCCCACTGATACCCTATCTTAGCAATGAAAATATTTTTCTGATGTTCTTATATTTTTACTTCTTATTTTTCCAACTTAGTTCATCCTACCTGAAGAAAAATTGACTGATTATGTTTAACAGACACTGTTAATGCAGTGCCATTTTATTAGGCATTAGTAACTGATGAATACATAAGTACATACATGAGTACATAAGAATCTCTCTCCACAATTTGTTTTTCGCACACATTGTCCAAACAAAGTTTCAGTTTCAAAGAGGAAAAAAGTGAGAAGTTCACACAAGAACTCCTTTGAGATTCTGGTTTGATTCTATTTATTTTAAAGAAGGAAATCTCTCTTTGACTATGTTTTCAGTTGGGAGACCCATTCTTGACTGTGGCCTCTGGACCCTATAATGATATAAATATTAATTCAAAATATTAATGAACTGTAAAGAAAAGGGAAAATACATCGGCTCAATTATACTGCTGTTGCTGTTTCAGAAGATAAATCCAACACAAAGCTTGTGCACTTTTGGTGACATTTCTTTGCCATATCTTTCTCCTTGAAGACCTTGATGTATTACATGTATACATTAAGTAACCTTTCCCAACGTTAAGATGATTCTATAATCTATGACAAAAAAAGGCTTCAAGTGGAAGAATATCAAGAGCCATTATCTAGAAATGTTTTCAGAAAAAATGTTTTCAATCCAAGCAAGTGTGTGTGTATATTCACACATACACTCTACACAAGAAACAATACTTCCAGAGTATGAGAAGTAGCAAAGAAGTCATGAACTTGGACTCAGTGACTTTTAGTTAACTCTATTAAGGTGAAATTCTCCTACTAAGCCTGAAACAGATGTCTAGGGTTCATCAAAAGTTATTTGAGGAAGATAGGTGTATGAGGTCAGGATGGGATGGAATTAACTTTCCCCGTGGCATGCCTTAGCACTGTGCTTTGTGTGTTCAGCTGAAAAGGTGTTGATAATGCACCAGTGCTGAGCAGTGCTGGCACAGCACCACAGCTGTCTCTCCAACATTCCCCTCTCACCAGTAGGGTAGGGGTGGTCAAGGTCTCAGGAGCAGATACAAACAGGACAGGTGACCCAAGCTGAGCAAAGGGATGTTCTATATGGTATCTGGTCAGCAGTAAAAGCTGGGAGAATGGAGGCAGCGAGGGCTCAGGGGGTGAGCTTTATTATTAAATTTGTTTAATTTGTTTTATTATTAAATTTGTTTGTCATCAGGAGAACCTGCTACACATAATCAAGTCCTACTTCCCTGGAGGTGTTTGGCCCTCACCTGCTCATGAGAAGTAGAGAATAAATCTTTTGTTTCCCTTTGCTTCTGCATGCAACCTTTGTTTTTCTTCATTAAACTGCCTATATGTCAACTCACAAGTTTTTAACCTTAATTTATTTCTGAGAAGGGGAAGTGAGAAAGCATCTTGATGGTCATCTGGCAGCCAGCTAAGGTCAACCCACCTCAACAGATATCGTAAGAGAATGATTCATACTTGTCTTGGAGCATGGTCTTGGGATACCAAGCCTAATTTTAACCAGATAAAATGAGTAGAAATATTCCCTTTCTAGCTATCTTTAGATCTTTCCTCACTTTGGTGATTACACATTGAATGTGTAATTACAGTACCTAATGGTCTGGTAAAGGACATGATGACACAGGTGCTTTAGTTTAATTCCTTGAGGTGCACAGGTGATTAATTGACATAAAAATTAACAGGAGTAGCACACTAAATGCATCTGGAGTACTAGAACTGGTCAGTCTCCTGCACCTTCTGAAAATCAGTTGGATACACAACCTTGGTAAAGTTTGCATTTTTCCAATGAGTCTAAAGATTAGTTAAACAGAATGACTTCTATTTGCACTGAACTGAATTTTAAAATCTTAAATTGAAGGCAGCAACGACATAAAATGCTATTTGAGTTTTTTCTTCACAGTTTCAGAAGTCTGGAGACATGATTCAGAGCTCTCTAAAGAGAAACTCAAGTCTTCAAGAGTTACTGCACACAGACTAGATCTGTTGAAGGCCTGCTGTTTGTTGGAGTCTCTGTGGTATTGCTCATCATGTAAACTATGCATAATAAAAACTAACCTGTGACCTTGAATAAATATTGAATTTTACACATAGACCCACTTGTGCTGTTCAAGTCGTTATGATAACAAGATTTTAAGCAGTAAAGTCATAACCACAATCAAGAAATCAAATGCATTCTGCTTAAAACTTGAGTGGCATCAATAATATTCAGTGATCAAAATATAAGTTGCAAGACTGACATGCCCTATATATCAGTACACTGACATATCTATAAAATTTGCTTGATTTCTACAGCAGTGACCACTCATATCTCCTGGGATATGGGGAACTGTGAATGCTTAGGGTTCTCTTGGGTGGTACATGTTATTAGGAATGTAAGCAAAAAAAAGATTTTGGCTAAACACCTACAAAAAAAAAGCTCTCACAGGGAGGTCCATCCATAGGCAGAGCAAAAGCTCTGTTCAGCTTCTGTGATGGATGAACTTCACCTGATGAATTTTAAAAAGGCTGTCTGAAGAGCTCAGTAATGGAAGACAATCCTGCTCTGGAAAAGAAGCTTACCAGTTTACCCTGACTCTGCCTATTCCATACCGTTTAAAAAAACCCCAACCTGTATTGGGATCTTTTCTTTTTGGATGCAACATCAGTCACCCTCAATTTCCTTTCAGCTGGAAAAGAACACTGAAGCCTTGTTTAATCTTTGCCCTTCTCTCAGAAACTTGGAAAGGGCCACCCCATGTTTTGGTGTCATAGGACCTCACAGAGAGAGCACAGCACAGGAGAATCCCACCTACTATTCAATGCATTACTAAGAAATCTGTTGTTTGAATGAGAAAAACTCAGTGATGAGGCTCATTCGAAATCACTTCTCCCACTTCTGGGGAAGAAGTTGTTTCTGTAGGAAAGATAAAGGCTTCATTTCTAAGAGCAAAGAGAGACAGAAACTGTGGTTAATTAATCAATGTGAAATGGAGCATAGTGACTAAAATTAGTAGTGACTATCAGGAAAGCAAGCTCAAGCAGAATCAAATAGAGCACATGAGTGGCACAAGGGAAACAGGCCAAAGGCAAGGTAAATTCCTTACAGCAAAGTTCTTCTCAATCCCTCTTAGATCGAAAATTTATTTCCTACAAATTATAAGGTTCTGATCTTAGTGCTAACTTTAAGATTTTTATCTCTTCAGTTTTCCTGTTTTGGAATATAGTTATTCTTAAATTTTCCCTGTCCTTTGATTTCAAAGCTGTTATCAAATTTCTGTCTCACACTGATGAAAGCGTAGCTCCTGTCCCTGCTGTTGCAATCATGAATCTTTCAAAGGCTTGTATTTTCATGAATTATGCATTGTTATGTGAAAAAGTTAGAAAATATTATGCATAAAAATGAAAATACCATATTATTTAAATGTTATATTTTTCATTCAACTTCTATTACACATAATCCTGAATCATAGAGTGCTTATATTACCTTCAGGGAAGTTGTGCTGATGTCTAATCAGCAGGGTGAGAATAAAATTAATGTAGCTTTTTAGTAGATGTAAAGAAATAAAGGATTGTAAAAGAGGAAGGAAGCATTTAAGTCAACAAGTAGAGTCCATAGCTTCTACAGCTGACATATCTTACCAGCTCATACTGTATCAGAATTTCAGCAGTTGTTCTTCAATAATTTGTCTTACTTTCCTGTGTTTAAATTCAAATGCTTTCCCTTTCTTTTTTCTTCCTTCTGCACTTTCTTCACAGCAATAGAAATCACTTGCGTTTATACTCTGAAATACTTGTACTGAACATAAACCTCAGGAAATAGCATTTTACAGCCTCATTTAATGGAAATGTTGGAAATCCTAACTTAACTGCCTCCCTGCATCACCCAGATAGATAAATCACAATGATGATCTTCAACAGAATTTGTGGAATTCCATGGAGACCCAAGGAAAGCATGGCGCCTTTCACCTACTCTTAAAGATTAACACAAATAAAACCTCAAATAATCAGAATGTATATTGAATGTGGTTTTGGGTTAGGGAAAAAGTGAATGAACTGCAAAGGCAATAGAAACTACATCAGTAGATTTGTCTGATAAGTATTTTCATGGCGAAGAAAAACTGATCAGTAACTACTGCATTTATGCACTTTGGAAAGACAATAAATTAAGTTTTAATTACCTCTACTTGTTCAGACTGCTTGTTTTCATCATAGGCAAATGGATGAGGCAGCTCTCCAAGTGGCATGTCATAGAAATCAGAATCATAAATTATGGTATCACTGATAGGGGCAGCTCCAACAGACTCAAAGATAAAAAATCCCAGAAAAACATTTACAAAGGTCTGCATTGTGTTTTCTTTTCTGAAAGAGAAGAAAATGGACAGACTGTAGGTACTCTGGTATTGACAAGGAATCTATGAAAATTTAATGTCACAAATACAGTACTTATATATAAAATCCACAATATTTCTGATGAACAATTAATATTTATTTATGGTGACTCAGTGGTTTAATTTGGTTTTCTTCATGAAGAGTCTCTGGACCTAAGAATTCTGCAGACTGCTTTGGCCATATTCATGGTCATATAATGTAGAAAAGACCTATTGAATTTTATTGGTGTAAAATAATCTGACTTTGGTGAGAAAGAGTCTGAAGAGTATTTTCCCCCTTTCATATAACTTCATCTATTTTAATTGCACTTAGATATCAACTTTTGAGAAACTAGTGGAAAGGTAAATTATTATATTACTTGTCTTTATCATAATCAATAATATTTTGATGTTTATAACAATGTAATATTATGCCTCTCTTCCTTCATAAAAAACCCCTAAATGGAATCAAACAAACAAACAAAAAATAACCCCAAAAAACAACAAATCCAAAAAACAACAAAACAAACAAAAAAAAACCACAAAAAGCCCCCCACACCAACCAACCAAAAAACAACAAAAAACTCCTCCACCAATCTATTATCAAACATTAGCAACTCTGTTATTTCTGGATAAGCATAATCAAAACACTTTTCACCCATCTGTTGTTTTGTCAGAACATAATTTTAATTAGTGTGGCACATTTGGACCATACTTTTACAAAGGTCTTGGGAGAAAAATAAAAAATAATAAGTGTCCTCCACAGCCCCATGGGCAGTAGCACTGGTACTCTGAATTCCTTTGTCATTCAATCAACACCATTTTTAAAGCAGTGAGAAATAGTGGTGTAGTGCATTCACCTGTTTTTCTTGAAAAACAGAATCATAAAATTGAATTAGCACCCATTTAAAGTTCTGTAAAATTAAATTATCACCTATTTAAAGTTCCAGAATTTTGTAAAACGGTAGAAAATTCATGCTAGGCTTGAGCACTAGCGCTCCCTTTTCCTTGTAAGTGATGCATTCACTATTATCATATAAGATGCCTGACACAAGGCTCTATTTAGCATGCTTTACTTACACCTTTATTTATCTACAGCTCACATTAATTTCACCAAAAGCACAGTGATAATGAGCAATGATAAGTCTAATGAACTGTACTCCTTATGTGATGCTGTGATACACGCTCTTAAATATGTAATTTCAAAATTGTAGCTACTTATAATAAAGTATAAGAAATACATGAGACTTTTTTTTTAATGTATGTACTGAGCAACAAGCTGAATTTTAGCTTCATGAAAAGAGGTCTTTATAAAGCTGGTTTAGGCATGAGGATATGAAATTCCTCTGGGGATGGTCAGTAACACAAGGCGTTCATTTTTCTCTCATTTTCTTTATTCAAAAAGACTTCAGCTGCTGCTGGAAGAAGCTAGAGTCACAGGGTCTTCTCTTTGAGAAAGCTTAGATGAATTTCACCTTTGAGCATTAGGTTCCAATATTACTTAAAGTATTCTGCTTTATTTAAAAAATTAAATAAAGTAAAATAAAACCACAATCAATCTCTGAAATAAAAAAAATATGCTAGAATTAGCAGGTTCATGTGTGTCTATGTTTTCTGCTGCCGATTTTTGATAGAATTGGTTTTGGTCTTGTTTTTTCTTTCCATGTCATTTATCCTAGACAATTCAGCTATAAGGGGTGCTATCTATCAATCCAAAATGTAATACGAACATATGTGGTGTAATTTTTCCTCTGAATAAACAATTCTTAAATAAAAAATTGCTCATTATGCAAAATTGTTTTCATGTCACAATTCCTAAAACAAAATATTTTTAAAGGGTATAAGTCTTGATAACTATAATTTTTGCATATATAGGGACAAAACCAGCAAATATCTGTGGAAAAAAAATGTTTACCTATGGCTATAGTATCTGCACTAATTTGCAGGTTTCGTGTGTCTCTGTTTCCCTTTCATCTAATATATTGGAACGCACTGTAGAAATATTGGCATCTGCAGTAGCTGTAAGATCAAATATTTTGGTGAAGATTATGTACACCTCTCACAGGAAGGAACTAAGACTTATCCAGGGAAAAATAAATAATCTCCACAATCTACGAGCTTTGAATCAGTATTAAGCATGATAAAATAAAACAAATAGTAGCATTTCCAGTGATAAAAATTCAACTAAGAGAGAAGTGCCAAAACTTACCTTTAGCTTCCACTGCCTCAAATGGGATGGAGTTACTCAGAAGGCAGAGCTGGTGCTATTAGCCCCTGACCAATGGCAGAGGCATTCTGGGGCTGTGGGAGGTAGTACAGCTTCTACCCTCAGCTGAAGACCTCAGCCCAGGGAGTTTCTCAGACTTCAAGCACCTTTATATATTATTTGGCTGAACTGAATTTTTGGAAGGTCAAACAAAGATTTGTTGTAAGGAAATGGCATTTATTTCACGTGACAGTTTTTTACCCCTTCCCCTCAAATTTCTTCCTGCTCCTACCAATATACCAATAACACTGTCAGTTGTATTCTGGGAACAACATTTTGTGTTACCTGATAACCTACAAATACAAATTTTTCAGTGTCCAAAATCAAAGTTTAAGCAAATTAGTTTACATATTAAGGTTTTTCCTATCTGTAACATCTCTATTTTGTGACTTATTAGATGTGATAATGTTTAATGAATTTCTGTCTATTGCAGGTATTACCTCGTATGTATTCAGAAGTACTTTTTCCCTCCTTTATTTTCTGTAAGTACTTATGAAGCAATGCTCATAGAATATACTATTTCCAGTGTTTTCCTTCTGAGAGGAAATGTCATTTTCTTAATAGATATGAACCTCTTTCATATGCTGCAGATGATGGGCATATACCATAGTATAATGTGCTCTATTAGACCAGAAAAATGTTTTACTCTATTAGTATGTCAAGCTATCTCTTTCCTTAATTGATTGTTTTCTTTATTATCAGTTCCTACTTAATTCTGTGCTTTTATATTATCAGTATTTATACAACATGCATCTATTGCTCTGAATATTTTAGTCATTTTTCCAACTCTTCAATGAAATGTATCTCCTATATATTGTCAACATTCAACAACAGAACCTCTCCTGTATCTCTGGAGGGATGTAAGATCCATGTATAAGGCTCCAATGTGCTAAGGAAACTTTATTCCCTTTGCTTTATGCAACTTCCACAGCAAATTTTTTTTCCAGTACGACCATCCTAGTGGGCCAAATTTTCATGAGGCACTGAAAGCACATCAAGAATTTTAAGCCACGTGCCTTGTGGCAAGAATCCAAGATGTCTGGCAGGGCAGCATATACAGTGAAAGCACCACATTGTTGTGTCCTGTTGCTCTTCTCTTTCTTCAGATCAATAGCCTCAGTTTACTCCTTAATTTAGTGGTCTAGTTGCTTGCAATGCCTGTGTGTGCTCCTTCTTGACAACAAAGCAAACATCTGTATCTTCTGTAGCAAAAATTTGTCATTCACCTTCTTAGTGTTACTGATAATTGTAATGCTAGTTAACATTATTTCACTTTTAAGTATAGTATTTTCTGCTGTGCTTGGTAATTCAAGATTTATTCTGCTAAATCCTCACTTCTAATATGTCTCCTTCATTTACAAAACATGCCCTCTCTAGTTAGATCCAATATTCATTGCTTTCATTTGTGAAAAAAATCCCAATTTTTTATTCTTTATTGAAGGAAAATTCTTATCTGTAACAAGTTATTAATATAAATATTAATGTTTTTCTTCATTCTTACACAACTAAATAGATTTAGGCATACTGAGACCTAGGGCCTGAAACCTTTGTATCTTTTGGTTTGTAGATTTGCTTTTTTTGTTTTATAAGACCTCAAACCACTTTGTGTCTTGGTATTAACTTTGATTTCCGTGGCATACTGTATTCCTCTCAGAATACAATATGCTTTGCTGGCCTTGCTTTCCAGAAACACTAAGCAAGTAAAATTAATTGAAGGCAAATGTTAACTTACAGATACTGGATTTTTGTTTTTTTCTTAGAACTAGGGAAACTTAACTGAAAAAGAATATATTTATAGAAAGATTTTTATAAGCTTGCAAGCATCACAGTTTGCATAGCACACAAATAAGAAATCAGTTTTGTTTTTTTTGGTTTATGATTTAAAGAACAAGAGTTTGGAGATTGAATGGTGTATCTGTAGGGGGCATGCCTTAGTTGATGCTGAAATTAATGTTTGGCAATTTGTTTGAGCTTGGATGACAGGAGTCCTGACACTAGCAATCCTAGACCAACTAGAAACCCAAGAGACCCCCCCCCCCCCAAAAAAAAAAAAAAAAGATAAAAGAAAGTAAAAGACTACTTAGAGTTAGAGGCCCTGTGGTATTGCTGAGCAAAAACCCAAGCATATAAAAAAACTCACAGAAAATTTGTGCTTGAGTTAGAAACTGATTCAGATCACAGCTTGCATTTTCTGAATCCTGTTATCACGGAAGATAATGAAATTCCTGAGACTGACAAAAGGACATTTGGGAGTGAGCTTTCCATGTCCTCTAATTAGTCCCTTCACCCACACTTGGGTTTTTTCCAGATCCTCTGGCCTTGTGCAGTCTAAGTTACTGTCTTGTGAACTTCCTCAGCTGTCTTTAAATCTTGCTTTCTGACTTAGTTGGGCTTGATTAAAAGCTCACTGAAGTTAATGGAGAGTTCCATAACATTCAGTGGTTTTGGGGCATGGCTTAAACTGGAAGCATACCCAGCTGTGACCATTGCCTAACACATTCCTAGTCAGCATGCATTCCCACTGCACAATTTCTGGCAGTAGTAAATGAATTAGTTTATTCCCCTGTTTTTTTGAGAGGGCTTTGTTTCCATTTCAGTTCTCCAGTTCTTGGAGGTGCAATGACTCCTAAGTGTGTTCTTGAACTCAGTGCCAGAGCCTCAGGGTCGTCCTATTCTTGTTTTTGCAAAACTTTGATTACAGAGCATTGAGCCTTTGATTC